AAAAAAAAAAAAAAAAAAAATGGGCCAGGTGCAGTGGCTCATGCCTGTAATCCCAGCACTTTGGGAGGCGAGAGGATTGCCTGAGCCCAGGGGTTCTAGACTATCCTGGGCAACTTGGCGAGGCCTCGTCTCTACAAAAAATCAAAAAATTAGCCGGGCGCTGTGGCACGTGCCTGTAGTTCCAACCACTTGGAAGGTTGAGATGGAGGATCACCTGAGCCCAGTGGGCCAAGGTTACAGTGGCTGTGAGCATGCTACTGCACTTTATTTAGTCTGGGCGACAGAGTGAGATTCCTACTGGAAAAAAAAAAGCCCACCTTACAAGGCAGAGGATTAAGATAATGAATGTAAAATGCCAGACATTTAATCTGGTATACAGTAAGTGCTCAATAAATATTCCTCTGCCCCACTGTACAGCACTTATCACTCCTGACTCCCTTGCTTCAGCACCTAGTAGCAGCAGCCAGGCCTGGACAGTCCACCCCAACCTACCCTGGGGGATGGAAAGGCCCTGGCCTACTTTTTTTTTTGAGTTGGAATCTCACTGTCGCCCAGGCTGGAGGGCAGTGGTATGCTCATGGCCACTGCAGTCTTGACCTGCTGCGCTCAGGTGATCCTTCTGCTTCAGCCTTCTAAGTAGCTGGAACTACAGGCACATGCCACCATGCCTGGCTAATTTTTTTTAACTTAATGTAGAGACGAGGTCTCGCCAAGTTGTCCAGCCTGGTCTCAAACCCATGGACTCAGGCAATCCTCTCACCTTGGCCTCCCAAAGTGCTGGGATTATAGGCGTGAGCCACTGTGCACCCCCTGGGATGTCCCTTTTTTTTTTTTTTCGAGTTGGAGTCTCACTCTCTTGCCCATACTGGAGTGCAGTGGCATGCTCCTGGCCACCGCAGCCTCGACCTGCTAGGCTCCGATGATTCTTCTACCTCAGCCTTTCAAGTAGCCAGAACTACAGACGCGTGCTACCACACCCGGCTATTTTTTTATTTTATTGTAGAGACGAGGTCTCGCCAAGTTGCCCTGGCTGGTCTCGAACCCGCGGGCTCCCAAAGTGCTGGGATTACAGGCGGAGCCACCAAGCCCGGCCAGGATGTCCCTTTTGTAACAGCCCATCATGGCTAACTTAGGAGTGAGGAGCATGTGTATATAGCCACACCTGGTGTGGAGGTGAGGGACTGGGGGAGATAATGTGTGTGCTTGTGTACACAGGGGCACAACTGTACATGTATGCAACCGTGGGCAGTGTGTATACCTGCCCCTGCGCACACCTGAGGCCACCACATCTCACCTGCCTCCTCCCCCCCAGCTATGACCGCAGCGCCTTGGTGGCCATCGTGGTGGGCGTGGGGCGCCTCATCACTGGCATGGACCGTGGCCTCATGGGCATGTGTGTCAACGAGCGGCGACGCCTCATTGTGCCTCCACACCTGGGCTACGGCAGCATCGGCGTGGGTGAGAAGGGCAGGGGCGCGGGCTGGGGTGGGAGAGACCAGGAGGTACCATCCTGAGGTGCAGAGACCACAGACAGGAGCGTCCTGTGGGGTCAGCTCTGACCGGTTTCTTGTTCCCTGGGAGGTGGGGGAGGGGGGCAGCAGGGCGGTGAGTGGGGTTACAGCGCAGAGCAGGCCTCAGAGCTCCTGCCGCTCTGCCCTACAGCGGGGCTCATCCCGCCCGATGCCACCCTCTACTTCGACGTGGTCCTGTTGGACGTGTGGAACAAAGCAGACACCGTGCAGGTGAGCATCCTGCTGCGCCCACCCCACTGCCTCCGCATGGTCCAGAACAGTGACTTTGTCCGCTACCACTACAACGGCACCCTGTTGGATGGCACCTCCTTCGACACCAGGTGAGGGCCCAAGGGAGCCCCAGGCACTGAGGACTATGGCGCGGGGAGGGGGAGTCTGGGCCCAACAGCATCACCGCTGCCTCCTCCGCAGCTATGGTCGGGGCAGCACTTATGACACGTATGTGGGCTCCGGCTGGCTGATCAAGGGCATGGACCAGGGGCTGCTGGGCATGTGTCCTGGAGAGAGGAGGAAGATCATCATCCCTCCGTTCCTGGCTTATGGGGAGAAAGGCTATGGTGAGGACAAGCGGGGGTTTGGGGAGATTCTCCGGAGAGAGAAAGCGGGGGCTCCACATACAGTTGCCCAGGTTGTAGACTGCATGGGGGCCGGCCAGACAGCCAGGGAGGCATGGAATCTGGCCGGCCCTCCATGATCGGCACCGGCTCTTTTCCTGATGGGTGCTGGGGGAGAGGGGTCCCTTATTCTGATTCACACCAAGGCTCAATGTCAGCTGGCGGTGGCCCTGGGGGAAGCAGCTCAGGCTTTCCTGGAGGAGCAAGAAGCTGCCGGAGGGAGGGAAAGAGCTCCGGAGACAGCATCGTGTCTTCTCTCTGGGGCCCCCAGGGGCCTCCCAAGTCAAGAGGGAGCTGTGGCTTGCTCTCCACCCAGGTGGCTCAAGTCCTGTCCCTCCCCCAGGGACCGTGATCCCCCCGCAGGCGTCACTGGTCTTTCATGTCCTGTTGGTGGATGTTCACAACCCCAAGGACACCGTCCAGCTGCAGACGCTAGAGCTGCCCCCGGGCTGCGTGCGGAGGGCTGTGGCTGGGGACTTCATGCGGTACCACTACAATGGCTCACTGATGGATGGCACCCTCTTTGATTCCAGGTCAGGGGGATCCTGTGGCGGGACCTGGGGGCTGGGGCGTGGCGGGAGAAGTTGAGACGCCCCAACTACTGCCTGGGATCCTGGAGGGGAGGGGCCCCTTTGACTCCCCTTCCGGCTCCCGCCTTGTGTTGCAGCCACTCCCGCAACCACACCTACAATACCTATATCGGGCAGGGTTACATCATCCCCGGGATGGACCAGGGGCTGCAGGGCGCGTGCATGGGGGAGCGCCGGAGGATCACCATCCCCCCCCACCTGGCCTATGGGGAGAACGGAACCGGTAGGGTCCTCCAGAGGCCACCCCCCACCCCTCGCCTTCCACCATGGTGGGACTTCAGCCAAAGCTCTGCCCTTCTCATCACAAACTCCCAACTCACACCCAGTCACCCCTCTGACTCTCGCCATGTGGACTCCACTTCCTTCCATGATGGAGAAGGCGGCCAGCTCCCAAGTTTGGGGAGGGAGGGTGGTGTGAGAGAACAGGACCAGCATAGCCCTGGGACCCAACTGAACTGGGTGTCTCAGTGTTGTCACGTGTAAAATGGGACTGATATTGATCTGCAGCGTCAGTTACGGGGGTTTGCAAGATGAGTTGAAAGGGTTTTCTTTTTTTTTTTTTTTTGAGTCGGAGTCTCACTCTGTCGTCCAGGCTGGAGTACAGTGGCACACTCACGGCCACCACAGCCGTGACTTGCTGGGCTCAGGCAATCCTTCCGCCTCAGCCTCCCAAGTAGCTGGAACCACAGGTATATGCCATCATGCCTGGCTAATTTTTTTGATTTATTGTAGAGATGAGGTCTCGCCAAGTTGTCCAGGCTGGTCTCAAATCCCTGGGCTCAGGCCATCCTCTCTTCTCTGCCTCCTAAAGTGCTGGGATGATAGGCGTGAGCCACTGCGCATGGCTGGAAAGGGTTTTCTTTTTTTTTTCTTTTTTCTTTTTTTTCGAGTTGGAGTCTCACTCTGTCACCCAGACTGGAGTGCAGTGACCACTCCCAGCCACCGCAGCCTCGACCTGCTGGGCTCCGGCGATCCTTCTGCCTCAGTCTTCCAAGTAGCTGGAACTATAGGCGCGCGCTACCATGCCTGGCTAATTTTTTGATTTGCTGTAGAGATGAGGTCTCGCCAAGTTGCCCAGGTGGGTCTCGAACCCTTGGGCTCAGGCAGTCCACTCACCTCGGCCTCCCAAAGTGCTGGGATTACAGGCTGAGCCACAAGCCCAGCTTGGAAAGGGTTTTCTCATTGGAATGCCTCTCCTCTCACCCCAACAAGATACCCCAATATGATAAGGATTGACTCCGGACAGACATCCTGCCCCATCCTTGTCTGGACCCCAGGGTGGAGGGAGGCTAGCACTTCCAGGGCCTCTATAGATGATGCCTCAAGCGGCCTCTCCTAGAGCTGTAAGCTGACCCTCCCCGGTTCGGACCCCAGGAGACAAGATCCCTGGCTCCGCTGTGCTCATCTTCGATGTCTACATCATCGACTTCCACAACCCAGCGGATCCAGTGGAGATCAAGACGCTGTCCCGGCCATCCGAGGCCTGCAATGACACCACCAAGCCTGGGGACTTCATTCGCTACCACTACAACTGCTCCCTGATGAACGGCACCCGGCTCTTTTCCTCGTGGGTCCTGGGCCAGGCAGTGGGGGTGGGCACAGGTGTGGGGCTCTCTCCTAAAGCACCGGCTCCTGCTGCCTCTGGGGTCAGACTCGCTTTTCTGTAAGTCCTACCTCAGAACATCAGGGGGTCAGGAGGCAGGGAGGTCCCTGCTCTGCGGGGATGGGCCTGTGAAGCCAGCAGTCAGGGAGAGCCATGTACCTGGTGGAGGGGAGATCAAGGCAGGGAGAGGAGCCCCAAGACTGCACTTAAGGGGTAGTGACAAGAGGGGGGCAGGAGCTCTGGGGGGGCCTTGGGACTCTGCCAGGCACCGGGGGAGTAACTCGAATTGAGGGCTCGTCCTGGGCCCACCCTGGGGAGAGTGGGGTGTGACTAGGCTGGGGACGCAACAGATGCTAACCTGGGCACCTGCACTCCCCCAGGCATGACCACGGGGGTCCCCAGGAGGCGACTCTGGGGGCCAACAAGGTGATTGAAGGCCTGGACAAGGGCCTGCAGGGCATGTGTGTAGGGGAGAGGCGGCAGCTGGTTGTGCCCCCGCACCTGGCCCACGGGGAGAATGGAGGTGAGGGGCAGGGACCCTGGTCTGATGGGCGATGTCCCCTTTTTCCTGTCCATTCTGTGGCTGGTGGGAGGAGTTGGGGAAGCCTTCAGGATGGTCCTGTGCCCTGCTCTCCAACCCCTGAGGGGAAACTGAGGCCTGTGGGCTGGGGAGCCCTGAGAGGGACCCTGGACTGGTGAGGACTCCTCCCTCCCACCCTCCAGCCCGGGGGGTCCCCGGCAGTGCTGTGCTGCTGTTTGAGGTGGAGCTGGTGTCCCGGGAGGACGGGCTGCCCACAGGCTACCTGTTTGTGTGGCATGAGGACCCTCCGGCCAACCTGTTTGAAGACATGGACCTCAACAAGAACGGAGAAGTCCCTCCAGAGGAGGTGGGTGAGGCTCAGTCCTTATAATACCTGCCCCTGCCCGTCCCGGAAGCCAGCCAGCGTGGGTGCAGCTGGCGAGATGTCCTGCCTGCCCCCCTCCAAGTCCCTGCCTTCTCCTTGGCACACACGCAGCCTGTTCCCCCACCTGGGCCCAGCCACTGAGTGTCCTCCAAGCCATGCCCTCCACCCCAGCCCCCCCAGGGTCCCAGCACAGCACCTCTCCTCTCCTGGTCCTCACTGAGTTGGGGGGAAGGGCAGCCTGAAATCCAGCCTCTGACCTCCCCCTAGGACCCCTCCAAGGTCCCCCGCAGCTAGCTCAGCCATGACCCTGACTCCCCCCTCACACCCCCCGGCTCTCCCCTCCCCAGTTCTCCACCTACATCAAGACTCAAGTGGATGATGGCAAAGGACGCCTCATGCCCGGACAGGACCCAGAGAAGACCATAGGGGACATGTTCCAGAACCAAGACCGCAATCAGGACGGCAAGATCACGGCCGAGGAGCTCAAGCTGAAGTCAGATGAGGACCAGGAGCGCATCCACGAGGAGCTCTGAGGGCAGTGCCTGGCCTCACCAGCCACTGCTGGCAGTCACCCTCCCTGCTGGGATGGCGTCTGGGAGCGCCTAGAAAGCTGTTGGAGGGGCCATCTCTGGCCTTCCCACAGCCTGAGGCAGAGGTCACAGCATGGACCTCTGTTATTTCCTCTCCAGCTCCAGGCCCCTCCTGAAAATGTCGGAGTTACAGAGCCCATCTGCGTCACAGAGCCCGGGCTGGACAGGGCCACCAGCTGCCCATGCCGCCTCGGTCACTAGACAGCGAGTGAGGCTAAGACAGCCCCTTGATTTATATTTTCCCTTTCCCTCACCATCCCTATCTCCCCACCACTTCTGTTGTGGCAGTCCCCAGGCATGAGTCAGGGCTGGGGAGACCCCTCACCTCCCTCCCCCAGCCCCAACATGCTCCCAGGGAAGAGGGGATGCCAGAGGGCAGCCCCACTTCACCTGTCCCTTCTCCTTTCTCACTCACCTCCAGCGGAGGCTGAGCGGACCCTGGTGCTGGAGGCCAGGGCTGGGCTTTGGGTAGCCTTTGTCCCTAGAGAAGGCCTCCTTCCCTAAGGAACTGCGGAAGAGGAGGAAAGCAAAGGGGGTGTGCAGGGGTGGGTTTGGGGCGGGAAGTCTTGGGTTTGGGGCTCATTTGCAGCCGAGGGGTGGGAGGGGACGGATATGGGACCCCTTTCTCCTTTGTGCCAAATAAAACACTAACTCAAAGGCCTCTGGACTTACCCTTCAGAATGGGTGGGGGAGTGGTGGCCAGGAATGTTGGGGAAGAAGGGTCACAAACCAGGTTGTTTCCATGGCCTCATGAGCCCCAGACAGTGTGCCCCAGACTGCTCCCCTCCCCAGGTCTCTGTCCTGCTTTAGGGCTGCCCTGGGGCTTCACCATGGAATGGGAGCCCTGGTCTGTGGAGGGAGGGCGGATGTGCAGGGGAGATGTTGACAGATGCTCCTTGTCCCCTACTTGTCCCAGCTGAATGAGAAAGACAAGGTCCCTACAGAGCCCAGGGATTACGTTCAACCACACAGGCTTCCCACATTGATATGCCCACTGCCCTGCTCCCAGCTGCCAGCCGGTCCTGGCTGTCCTCCCTCCAGTTCAAATCTCCAGTGTCTTGGACAAGGACTTGCTTCAGCTGCCAGCTAGGTCATCTGCCTTCATTTGACCAGATTCCCTGCGACCGACGGCCCAAGCCTTGTGAGGACTGTGTGGGGACGGGGAGGGATGATGACAGGCCTGGACTCACACAGCAAGCTACCCCCATAGGCACCGATTTCTCTTCCAGGAGCCCCCAAGGGATGTAAATGCTCCCCAAGGCCAGGGATAGACTGTCTGGCCTCAAAGCCTCCAGCAAGCTTCTTGGATGAGCCTGAAAGTGGTTACTAATCCTGCTTGAGGGTGACCCTCTCTCCTTCCAAACCTAACAGGACAGGCTTGAACCAAAGCAGAGAAAAGACACGGGCTTGGGTCACGATCATTCAAACCCTGGCTCCCGTTCTTGACTGTTTCCCCACCTGGGCCACTGGACACTGGAGGGGGTGCACCTGCTTGCAGGGTTAACTGGGGTTAACTGGCGGTCCTGAGCACCCAGGCACACAGCAGGCATCAACAGCACAGGTGTCACAGACATACCCGCTAGCTGCCTCTGCCAGGGTGTGTGATGATCTCCGAGGATGGGCTGAGAAAACGCCCTGTTAACTCTGTTCTATGCTTTCTTCTTCAAAAGGAGAGATTCAACTGGCCCTGGACCACTCATCCAAGTCAGCAGGGAGGGGAGGAGGGAAAGAAGCAGCAATGGCCCAGCAGGGGTGATGCAGAGCATGCCTGTCTCACCCTGGCCCAGATACCTTCGGTCCCTGCTCTCGGCCCTTGGCAGGTCATCACGTTAGCGGCCTGAAGCACAGCAGGAGGAAGGAGCACCAAGGGCCAGGAAAAACCCAACTCAAATGGGTCCTGGGCGGTCCCTAGAGAGGGGTTCTCAGACACGGTCACCTCAATCCAATTGACCACAGTTATCAAGCTTGACATCTATATCAGAAAAAAGTCACACCCTTCCAAGCCCACCCTGAGCTGCACAGACACATTCCGGCTGTGCTCAGATGGGCTCTGGGCTAACTCACGGTAGTTCTCAAACTGTGTCCCAGGGAGCCAAAGGTTTCACAGGTCCCCATGCCTTCAGGCCCAGGAGGTTCCGGTTCTGCTCTACCAGGACAGATGTTTCGCATTTTGATGTTTCACACATTATATTTGCTTAAAAAACAGTTTTGAGTGTTTAACATTTTTGAGAAAAGGAATTCCTGGACTGGATGATCCCTAGAACAGCGGATCCCTGGAGCGCCGACATGCTGTGGGCCCCAGTTCAAGCACTGCCCATCCGGCAGGGCCATCATCAAACCTCCAAGGCCAAAGGTGCTGGGGAATGAGGGGGCAGGACAGGAAGGGCCCTGTAGCTCTGGGTATCTGAACACTTCTCTGCCCTCGGGGAGTGGCTCCATCCCCCTTACGCCAGCCTCAGGAGCCCCGTATGTCCACCTGGTCCCCCCGGTGCAGGATGTGCTGCAGCAGCCCGTTGACCACGTCCAGCGTCTCGTCCCTCTCCAGCACCACATCATAGGAGTCCAGGTAGCGCTCGCGCAGCTCCTCCACCTGCTGGGCCGGGGAAAGAGCCTGAGTGTCCAGGAACACCCTGCCCCCAGCACTTACCCTCAAGCACCCAGGGCTGGGGGGAGACCATTCAAGCAGCAGCTCCAGTCCCCTGCTTTTTGTTTTTTTGAGACAGGGTCTTTCTCTGTTGCCGGGGCTTGAGTGCCGGGGCTTGGGTGATCATGGCTCACTGCAGCCTCGAACTTCTGGGCTCAAGTGATCCTCCTGCCCCAGCCTCCTGAGTAGCTGGGACTACAGGCACCTGCCACCATTCCTGTCTAATTTATTTTTTCTAGAGCCAGGATCTCAAGCTCTTGGCCTCAAGCAATCTACCCACGTTGGCCTCTCAAGGGTTGGGATTATGGGTGTGAGCCAAAGTGCCCAGCTTCCCATCCGACATTTTATTTTGAGTCAGAATCTCACTCTGTCACCGAGGCTGGAGTGCAGTGGCACACTCATGGCCACTGCCACCATAGCCTCAACCTGCTGGGCTCAGGAGATCCTTCTGCCTTAGCCTTCCAAGTAACTGGAACTACAGGCACATGCCACCACACTCAGCTAATATTTTTTTTACTACAGTCACATACCACCGTGCTCAGCTAATAGATACATACATATATATATATGTGTATATATATATATATATTTTTTTTTTGAGTTGGAGTCTCACTCTGTCACCCAGACTGGAGTGCAGTGGCCGCTCCTGGTCACTGCAGCCTCGACCTGCTGGTCTCCGGCGATCCTTCCACCTCAGCCTTCCAAGTAGCTGGAATTACAGGCGCACGCTATCACACCCAGCTAATTTTTGATTTTACTGTAGAGATGAGGTCTCACCAAGTTGCCCAGGCGGGTCTCGAACCCGTGGGCTCAGGCAATCCACTCACCTCAGTCTCCCAAAGTGCTGGGATTACAGGCTGAGCCACCAAGCCCGGTTGATACATATATTTTTGAGTCAGAGTCTCATTGTCACCCAGGCTGGAGTGCAATAGCATGCTCACTACCACTGCAGCCTCGGCCTGCTGGATTTAGGTGATCCTTCCGTCTCAGCCTTCCAAGTAGCTGGAATTACAGGCATGCGCCATCACACCCCGCTAATTTTTCTTGATTTATTTGTAGAGGTAAGATCTTGCCAAGCTGCCCAGGCTGGTCTCGAACCCCTGGGCTCAGGCAATCCTCTCACCTCGGTCTCCCAAAATGCTGGGATTACAGGCTTGAGCCACCATGCCCGGCCCAGACATAGCTTCTAATCCACCTGGACTGAATTTCACCTGCTCAAGCATCCTAGTGGACTCAGGCTGAGGGGAGACATGCTGGTGGCCGTCTAGCTTGATCTCATGCTTGGTATCCCTGCCACCAAGCTTGTGTCAATCGTGCCACCCCATTCATGTCAACCCTGCCAGTCTCTGGTCTTTTCCTATTATTTTTCTTTCTTTTTTTTTGAGTCGGAGTCTCACTCTGTCGCTCAGACTGGAGTGCAGTAGCCGCTCCCGGCCACTGCAGCCTCGACCTTCTGGGCTCTAGCGATCCTTCCACCTCAACCTTCCAAGCAGCTGGAACTACAGGCACGCGCCACCACGTCTGGCTAATTTTTTTTTGATTTATTGTAGAGATGAGGTCTTGTCAAGTTGCCCAGGTGGGTCTCGAACCCGCGGACTCAGGCAATCCACACACTTCGGCCTCCCAAAGGGCTGGGATTACAGGCTGAGCCACTGAGCCTGGCCTGATTTTTTAATTTATTGTAGAGACAAGGTCTTGCCATGTTGTTTAGGCTAGCCTTTAACCCCCGAGCTTAGGCAATTCTCTCGCCTCTGCTTCCCAAAGTTCTGGGATTAGAGGTGTGAGCCACCGCACCCAGCCTATTCCTGTTTTTCTTCTGCTTCTTTTTAGTCTGTATTTTTCTTTTCTAATTATAAACCTGTGTCTTGGAGTACCAACATCATCCAACTCAACCGTCCTTTCCAGGTACGATCTAGGAGGCCTGGTAATCAACCCCGCTATTCCCTACACTTCATCACCTGAGGTGAGCTACCTGAGCCCCAGGCCTCAGTTTCCTTATCTGTAAAATGGAGATAAGTCACTGCTTCAAAGGGTTGCTGTAAGAATTAGGCCGGGCTCGGTGGCTCAGCCTGTAATCCCGCGCTTTGGGAGGCTGAGGTGAGTGAACTGCCTGAGCCCACGGGTTCGGACC